TTTTCCATCCTCCTCTATATTCTGGAATAATTTGAGTAGAATTGGTGACAGTTCTTCCCTGAACGTTTGGTAGAACTCACCAGTGAAGCCATTTGGGCCTGGGCTCTTTTTGGTTGGGAGTTTTTTGATGACTTGATCAATTTCTTCTTTTGTTATGGGTCTGTTCAGCTTTTCTACTTCACTCTGTGTACGTTTAGGTAGGTAGTGTTTTTCTAAAAATGTATCCATCTCTTCCAAGTTTTCAAATTTGTTGGAGTACAACTTTTCATCGTATTCTGTTATTATCCTTTTGATTTCCTTTGGTTCCGTTGTGACCTCTCCCGTGTGGTTTCTAATGCATGTTATTTGTGTCTTCTCCCTCTTTTCTTTTATTAGGTTTGCCAATGGTCTGTCAATTTTGTTAATCCTTTCAAAGAGCCAGTTTCTTGTCCTGTTGATTATTTCTATAGTTATTCTGTTTTTTATCTCATTTATTTCTGCTCTAATCTTTATTTATTTTCTTTTGGTGGCTATATGTTTCCTCTGTTGGTCTGTTTCTGATGGTTGTAGATGCTGTGTTAATGCATTAAAAAAATTTTTTTTTGGATGTGTGCATTTATTGCAATAAATTGTCCTATCAGTACCACTTTTGCCGTGTCCCAAAGATTTTGCTATATTGTGTTTTCATTCTCATTTTTTCTAGGAACTTTGTGAGTTCACGTTTTATTTCTTCTACTACCCAGTCACTTTTCAGCAGTTTTTTTTTTTTCCTTTCTTTCTTTCAGCATTTTATATATGTCTCCCCATTGCCTTCTTGCCTGCATGGTTTCTGCAGAGAGATCTGAGCTTAATCTGACTTGCTTGCCTTTGTATGTAACACTTCTCTTTTCCCTAGCTGTTTTCAGGATTGTCTACTTATCTTTTGTTTTGGAGAGCTTGATTATGATATCTCTGTAATTTTCTTTTGGGCTCTATCCTTCCTGGAGTTTGTTGAGCTTCTCGAATGTTTATCTTTTCACTTTTCAGGATGTTAGAATAATTTTCTTCTGGATGTTCCTCATCTATCTCTTCTGTGAACTTGTGTGATTCTTCCTGTTCCAGAATGCCGATAATTCTTATGTTATTCCTCTTTATGTTGTCCAACAGGATCTTCTTCAGATTTTTTAATGCTTTTTTTCTGTTTGCTCTTCTGTCTTAGTGGTATTGAGAGATTTGTCCTCCAGTTTACTAATTCTGACTTCCATCTCTTCTATTCTACTCCTTTGCCCTGTCAGTGTATTGTCTATTTCTGATAGTCTATTATTGATAGTTTGAACCTCTTTCTGTAGGTTTTGAATTGTTTTCTAATGCTGTATCTATCTTATTTGATTGTTCCTGTAGCATTTTCCCGACTTCCTCCTTGTTTTCCTCAACTCCATTGT